TAACCCACCTCTGCCGCTTCTCCGTGACTCTCAGCAGGTCACACACCAGTTTGGAATGGGGGGAAAGGACCACTTGAACTCCGCATTCCTGGAGCAGCGCCAGGGCCCGGTCCGGCCCCACCGTGCGAGCCAGCATCAGGGTCAGGCTCTCCGGGGTGATCCGTCCCTGGCAGTCTGTGGAACCGTTGGACCAGCCGCTCCCGTTAACGTCTGCGGCCGGCGGTGCAGCCGCCACACCGCAGTACTGCTGAGAGAGCTGCAGCAGAAGCTTCCACTCGTCCAGGGTTTCAGGTTCAACACCTGAAACCAGGGAGATGATCAGAGGTCACTGCTGGATGGAAACAAACATGGCTGCCAGCCGTCAACCACTAGTCAAGTTGCTCTAATGATGGACGCCTTTTAAAGATACAGAAACAAACGGTTCTGGAACAATTATTAAAATTGAACATAAAATAAATGATATACTTGGTGATTTTTCTACTTTGTTTTACCTGTTCTGCTCAGCTTTGTTTTGCACAGGTGATTTATACACAGTCAGGAATATTTGAACTTCCTGCTATTTTTGCACATTCTCCCTCCTAGAAATCATGGATGCGTCTGAAAAGGTGCGTGTCCTCTGTGAGACATGATCTAATAAAATAAATTCATTTAGCCACAGGGGGGCAGTATAATCAGAAAGGCCTCTTTAACCCTTCATAGAGCACTCAGTGAAATCCTTGGAAAATAAAACATTTTAAGCTAAGAGTGTTTTTATAGAACAGACCAACAACTTATTGCTTTTGTAACATTTAGAAAATATGGATATTTNATTTTAAGCTAAGAGTGTTTTTATAGAACAGACCAACAACTTATTGCTTTTGTAACATTTAGAAAATATGGATATTTTGATGGAAAAAAATTAAAGTCAACTTAACAACAAGAAAAGGAAACGTGCCCTAATATATATAAAACAACATTTTAGATGCAGGGAATAATAAATTATTTTTTTAAACTTATTAACTTTTCAATTGGCCCCTTTCCCTTCTTTTTTACTTAACTTTTCTTTCCAACTTAATGGGAAGCTACTGTTTTTAATCACTTACAAATAGAGCCCCCCCGTCCCTCACCTCAGGTCTAGAAGCACTAGATCTATATCCATCCATTCAGCAGAGATCCTGCTACCTGACTGTACATCTAATTTTTGCATTTGACCAATTAGATCATCCCTTGAATGATAGATTACCTGCTGGAAATTAAGTTTGAAAAAAAAGTTAAGTCAAGAATTGAAGAATTAATTGGAAACTTAAAAAGTTAATAAGCCTAGTTAACAATTCTATTTAGGTTTATAAACTGTGGTTGTAAAACTTAGATTTTTCTTATTTCAAATATAAATTGATGCTATTTACTCACTATAAAAGTTTTCACTCAGTCTGTTTCACATTCAAGGCCAAACAATTCCCCAGAGTGAGGATGTTTGTAGACGTAGCTTCTTCCCAAAACCAACCAGATTATTTCTCAGATTTATTCATAACATGTTGCTGTTTAACCAAAGTGTCTGTAATCAGTTTTGACTCTGACTAATTTCCATGATTGTTAGTAAGGAGGAACGAACGCTGCTCAGATCAGAACAGGATTACGATGCATTAAGGGCCGTTTGATGAACTGTTCTCTCTTTGCAAAGATATGAAAATAAAACGCAGACTGAGTGAAATCCATCGATCTCCGTTTATTTAACTGGAGAAAATCGTAGAATACTTTTTGCCGACTACTATTTGTCGTTGTGAGGGCAGGATTCTCCTACGACTGATTTTTTCCGAGGACAGCGATTGCCAGAAGGATCAGGTATCACCCAGGGGGGGGGCAGTCTTCCAGCCTCAGTACCCCGTTTAGAAGTTTAAGGGAACACAGAGTACATGTCAGACTTAATAATATTACTTTAGCGATAGTTTCAAGGTGTTGCTTTATTGTATATCTCGTACCATGTCTTTCAGTTGTGCTGTTCTTTTTTCATCTCATTACAGGTGATGAAGCAGACTGAAAATGTTTTGTCATTGTCTCTTTTCTATCTCCTCTTTTTTTCATCTTTTTCATCTATTTACATTGCAGTGTCCATATAAACTGTAAAACTCCCTGCATAATTATAATAAAGCAATTTATATGCATGAAACAAGTGGAGCGATATGGCGATAGCCGTACTGCTCCACTTGTGAAAGTAAAATCTGTTGGGCTCTTTTTGGCATCAAGACAATTATTCTTATTGCCACATTGCCAGACAGGACACTGAAAAAAAAAAAGAAAGAAGTTTAACGGAGTGAGGACTTCTGGCATCGAGGTCCTTGGAGGTCAGGGGGAGGAGCCACTGAGTGAAATCCATCAATCGACGTTTATTAACTGGGATCAATAGTTGTATATTTTACAAAACTAAAAACAGTCAGTCTCTGCATTAATGTCTCTAAAGTTATGTTGGACCAGAATTTTTTTTTAGCTTTTTCTCTCAGAGTGTTTTTTATGAAATCTTATAGAATCACTTTTGTTATTTTTCTTAATATATTCGGGCAAGTTGGTTTTTATAGTTATTACATTTACATTCATTTTTCCTGTCAAAATATAAATTTTTTGAATGTTACAAAGGAAATAAGGTCTGATCCTGGATTCCAATAAGACTATTTGCTTGGAATCTTGATTTTCAGTATTTAGCTGAGTGCCTATAAAGGGTTAATTTAACGTAGGTAAGTTATTATCTAAAGGTTAATACGTCCATGCCAAAATAACACCTGCAGCTATATCTATGCTGAGTATCTCCAACTGAAATTTTAATGGAAATCATTTCAGTGGTCAAAGTGCTTCATCACCTATTTTTCAAAACATTATTTCTCATCCAAAAGGCTGGAATTTATAAAGTATTTAAACAGGAAAAACCAAAATTACAGTCGGTAAAGTTTACCACTGGGGGCATAAGGTTCCCAAACAGTGAAAATAACGTAGATCTGAAGATCACATGATTGACTGGCTCTACGGGTCATGAATGTTTGAGTTATTACCAGCTAGCATCGCTGCTTCATAAGCAGCTTTAGTCACGTCTTCAGTTAGTCGTAACTGGCAGGAAAAAAAAACGGCCGTGGAAGAAAAGTCAAAACCAAACCAGAGGTGTCGGATGAAACCTCAGCGTTTCCATCTCAGGGTTGGTTTAAATAAATTAACTTGGATGTTTCCATTATTAAATGTTAATGAGCCAACGCTGAATGTTTAGTGAATTAAAGTTTAATTTAGGAGATTTATTTGGTTGGATTATCATCACATTTAATGCAAACAGATTTACCATCAGGATCCTCCAGGAGGCTGACGTCATCCAGCTGACAGATGGTGGAAAACGCTTCGGTGCGACTCTGCAGCTCTTTGCAGAGGTACAGGTATCCCGTCCAGTACCTGCACACACGTCAACATCTAGCAGGCTGCATCATATCTAAAACACAAAAAAAAAACGTGAGGTGAAACCCAACCTACCCATGACTGCGGCACATCTCGGTCATCTTCTCTTTAGATGAAATGTCTGCAGGAAGGCGAATCAGGAGAGACAGCAGACGTCGGTAGCCCCAAGTGAAGCGGTGTGAATGCCACCTGCAGCAAGACGAAACTTTTTTAAAGTCGTAGGGAAGCGGCTGTTCCAACCGTTGCATTTCCGAAATTTCCTGATTGGTGCCCGACTTTACACGCGTGAATAAAGTGAATGTGATTGGTTGATTATCAGGGGCGGGGTTGTTGTGGCGGAAGGTTCACAAGCTAGTTTAAATGTGGCCGGTTTGTGGGAACCAGTTAGCATCTTAGTGCTAGCAGGTTCCCAATGGGAAATTCCATTGGGACCAAGTAGCACTAAATTGTTGCCTTAGAAACGACGCTGTCAAGGAACGCTATTAGAGGCTGATCGCCCCTCATTACCCCCTGTACAGCTACACCACGCACCATAAGGATGAAAGGCGGCCTATCGAAACATTCTCGCACGACTGGAGAATCGGCCCAAAAAGGCCAAAAAATGAATGATATTTTTTTTTACATCAGTAAATCAAACCCAGATATCTCATAATGCAGCATTTCCTCCGTCTTTATTTTAAACAAATGAAAGAAACTGAATCATGCTGTGACAGAGTCTAAACTGAGGAATGTTTTCCCTGCATCTCGGCGTAGTACCTGGGCCGTCCATCAGAGGTCAGGGTATCGGTCAGCTGAGGGGCATCGTGAGTCAGCGCCAGCTCCAGCCAATCGTGTCTCAGTGATTCAGGTTCGAGAAGCGACTGCAGAAATGATAACCTAAAGGAAAAATAAAAATGCTATAAACTCTCCCAACAAAAGCAGAAATGTTTATTTAGCAAACGCTAAAGTAGCACCTGTGCTCCTCAGGTCTTGATTGCACAAGGTTATCCAGGTAAGCCAGAAAGTGGCTTTGCTGAGCCACCGCCGCCACGTCAGCAGGAGTTATCACAGGATAGAACTGGGCAAACGAGCGGACGGCTGCCTCCCCGTGCTTCTCATATAGCCTGCAATGTAACGGAGAGATTCATAAGGTGGAGAACATCCAACCCACTGCTCCCATCACTATACCAACCAGAGCTCCCAACACTGTTCCCAACAACCTCCATCAGTTCTTCCATTCATGCTGATTCTGCTCAGTTT